TGGTAGTGTGAAAAGATGGTAACGTGCAGAATATGAGCACTGCATTATTTTAGTTCGAGTCCTGTTGAAGGTGCTGATGAAACCCAGGCGAGGTCGAGGCGGATTTCCACTCTGAATACAGGAAAATGCAATGCCATCATCGGACCTACTCTTAGCATGATGGACATTTCGGCTTATATTCTCGGCCTAGATTTGTAAAGTTAACACTAAACCAAAAGGATGAACGATAAATACTACTTTCATTTCTCAAGTCAGCATAGGCTGACTCATCTTGACTTGCTGTTAACTTGAAACTTTTAAGAAAATAAGTTTCAGCTCTGATGTAGTCTGTCATTAGACGGACAAAATCTCGATACATTTTAACCCGAAATTGGCGAGGATGTCTCATGGACTGTGTCAACTTGTCTTGTTGAATTTTTCGTATAAGTAGACCTTTGAGACTACCAGTAAATCGGTAATATGAGATGTGTTCACCCTATTTATTTTTGGGAAGCAAGGCAATGTGAAATTGAACGGAAACGTCAGCTCTACTCATATGATTGTGAGAAAATTCTCCTACCAGTCCTTCATCACCTTAAACGAAATAGAGTGAATACATTTCATATGACCTATTGAAGCAAAACGGCCACACAACAACGGGAATAGGCCATCTTCGTCTGGTGAGATGAATCAACGAATTTCTTCAAACAAAACGAAAGCCCCTAAAATGAGTGTAGAATGCATTGGCATTGTGGGCAAAACTATGCGCGAATTATTGGCGCTAGTAAAATGTACAAATAGTGAACATTTTATGTATCCTCTTTGCGACGTATTAACAAACACATGTATCCTCAAGTGGGAAATGAGTCTTCCGGCTCTTGCAATGACCTGAGAAATCGTCATCATGCTCTAAACAAAATCTCCGCCCAGCGGAGCGCCAAATTTGTTCATTCAGAACCTACAGTTTGGCATCATTTACGCCGACAACACATCGGAATATGCTCTCTCGGAGCGTCAAGTGCGCGTCCAGTCTTTAATTTGAATAAATGGAGGACAACTGCTATAAAATGAGTAATTTCTTGTTATTCTCGTCCTCTTCATGTGATTGTACATTTGATTTCGAGTAAAAAGGTAGGACTTCTACTTCATTATTGCTTTGAGACTTTGTGTGAAGATCCACTTTGCCACATTTGAACGGAAGTAAGCTTGGCACTGTATCGACAGGTCGAAGGAAGAAGCCGCAACGGCTGCGGTAGTCAAATTTGAAATAACAGCATATCTAAAGCAGTCTTGAGACGACACATCCGTTGGGTCCAATTTCTAATACGAAATATAAATCTGATGGCATTACAGTATTAAGTGATTCTATGGAACTCCGATTTTCACCAATATTTACACCTAAAAGGGGGAGTAATGACTACGGAGCTATCAAAAAGTATAAGTCGAAAGCAAGGACTCGTCACTAGATGAGTAGTGAATGTCGAAAAAGAATTCCAGTCATCCGAGATATTTTATGGTGATGTGAAGAAGCATAGTTTACTATGCTACTAATTATATTGTGAGTAGTTTCGAAACACAAATCAAGTGTGAAATAAAAAGTTGCTTGTAAATAACAAGTGGATTTTACTCGTTTGGAGTGTAAATCTAGGTTCCATATATATATATATGGAACCCAGATTTTCACCAATATTTACATCTAGCAGGGGTAACGACTATGGAGCTATCAAAAAGTATAAGTCGAAAGCAAGTACTCGTCACTAGATGCGTAGTGGATGTCGAAAATAATTCGAGTCATCCGAGACCTTTTATGGTGATGTGAAGATTTAAAGTTATATTCCCCACAAAGAGATAAGTAGAAGCTCTCAATCAACCTTGTCGCCTAAAGAGTCTAGAACTCTCCTGGATTTCATCGTCTCCAATGAGATTCGAAAGTGAGTCATGTGCTTGAACAGACAACTTTGCAGCTCCTCCACATGACCACGGAGATCACTGGATGACAGAATAGATGGGACTTTCAAGTTACATCTTCATAGTTGACTATGCTACTGATTATATTGTGAGTAGTTTCGAAACTGAAATCAACTATGGAATAAAAAGTTGCTTGTATATAGCAAGTGGGTTCTACTCGTTTGGCGAGTAAGGTAGTGAGAAGAAGTAGCGCAATGACACACACAGATCCGGAAGACGGTGTCGGAGAAGTATCAAGAATAGTAGATTTCAAGACGTAAACGATCGGCCGAATTAACCGTCATCTTCCGATGGGATCAACCGACGAATCTATTCATCAGGCACTTTCATACGAAAATAAAGTCTCCATAACAATATTATCTTAAGATATTCATCTAAAACTGAATATTGTCAGCAAACGCACATTTTTAGCATTTTAATGAGAAAAACTTATCTAGCGTCTCCTGCCTTCCCAAACTTTCTCACTTTTAACAATTCCTATTTTCAGATGCTACAGTCGACTTTTTGACGTCCTATCGACTGGTCGAGACGTCTAAGCTGGAAACTTACGCCAAATCCTTCGTGATTGAAGACTACGAGGACATGGACGGACGCATAAATCTCAGGGCAGTCAGCTGAGATAACTTTTACTAAAAAGATGAATGTTTGGCATTATTTGTTTGGAAAAGCTTCGTTTTATGAACGTTCTGCGCACCCACAAAAGTTGCAGGTTGTACTCAAGTGATCAAGTTCGATGTCAGTTTCAGTACCATTTTGCATGATCTACACATAACTACTGTCTATCGTCAATAGTAAAAGCTTAAGACCAATAAATGCATCTGGTTGACGTTAAGGCTCGAGAACGGCGATTCATTGGGCCTGTTCAAAAATGTATATGACCAAAATAAAGAGACCTTTCTTGCAAAAATCTTGCTACTACCCGACCGATTTGTAAGGTTACTGCCTAAACTTACTTATTTCGAACTGACGGATTTGCCCAATTGAGCCAGCATTTACACGAGCTCACATTTTCGGTCTCTAAATTCTCCACAAACTCTCCGCTTTTCCACTCAGTCACTATCTTGTTATGCCTCTGCAAGACTCCGCCAAGCCTGTCTGCGCTACCGCAAAATGGGATGAAGAAGAAGGTTTCTATGAATCGCCTGAGATCACGTTATTCTGAAGGCTTCCGTTTTGTATGAAGGTGTATGATGAGATTCAGACGAGAAGAGGATGGCCGATTCTCGTTGTACGGCAGCCATTTGACGGTAATACGACAAACAGATCGACGTAGTTGTCCACGAGACATTGTCCCTCATTTCAGGCTAACAGAAGCTAGGCTTTCATTCGTCATACGCTGGACATCGTCAGAGCTGGGAATCATTCTTTCCCAAATCTCAGGTTAACATCAAGTCAAAAGGACCGTCTTCTTGACTTAGCTTTTGTTAAATTGAGACTTTTGCAAGAATCACTTGCAGCTCTGATGCTTTCAATCAGAAAATGAATGAAAGCTCAGCTTCTATCTACCCGAAACTGAGGAGAATGTCTCGTCTGCTGGGTCAATCTGAACGTGGTATAAAAGTCAAAAGGCTTCAGGTAAACGAGAATCAGTTGTTGTCTTCTGGTGAGATCGACCTTCGAATCTCTTTCTCATGCACTTTCATACGAAATGCAAGTCTCCCCAATAAAACGCTGTAGGCACTAAGGGCAAAAAGAAGATTAACTTGCGAAGACGTAAATAGTAGTAGTTGAAGTAGGTAATACTAATTCGAGTGGTATCAGCTCAGCTGACTTGACCAGCCATAGTGAAAAAGCGACTTCAAATCTTGAGA